ATATATTCACTATTATTCTACAATGTAGAAAACAGTAAAAATAAAGAAAAACCCTTGAATAGGTGTTCTAAAACTTTTGACCGGTAGTGTATATGTATTGCGATTCGATACTGTGATTTTAATGCGATTCGATGTTCCAAATATATTGCTGCTGCAGACGGACAAGAGAGAGCCATGAAAAAACAACTTTTGATCAGTCATGGAAATAAAAGTGCTGAAAACTATTTGGCTCCCTATTTAAAAAGAAGATGGAGAACAAGCTATGAAGGAAAAATACTGGAATTCATGCGCAGGTACAGCAAACTAGCGCAAAAATACTATTGTGATATTGTCAAAACAATTTGATACAATATACCATCTAAAATAATACCCCAATATGTAATTGTATCGCATTCCCACCCCAATAGAAAAAAAGTATTAACATAATCAATTTGAATGCTTAATGTGAGCACTTATAGCCACGGACCAGACTATCGTGGAATAATAATACGCTTCCTGACACACTTGTCCATCATGTCAGTTTGGTTCTCCTAGTCTCCCCTGACAAGCTCCTTAAAACAAACATTTGGGGAAAGTAGATCTATGACACACTAACACTCCCAATCTAAGCCATGTGGAACAAAGAAAACCCTCCCCAAGGGGGTGAGGAATTGAGAGAAAATTATGATTTTCATCTACAGGACCACTATACTAGTCTAAGGTGAGTATTGTGAGTATTGCATTCAGTGTGCAGGAATAAAATATACAACCTTGGTCTTTCACAAAATTCTGACACCGCTAATCTTGGCTACATCCGTCAACTTCAGGCAGGCTCCTTGAGGCCCCCATGTTGTTGTTACTCTGCTGCTCCATTCCCCCCAGGCCCCCACATCCCAGGTAGAACCAGCCACCGGTTGGCCACGAAGGGGAGACCAACCAGCCCATGACAGCTGGCAAATGAAAATGTAAATAGTCTCCATTCTCAGAGCGCAGTGTTTCTGACAGTCCCTCAAGTGTCATAAACGCTGTCCATCTCAGGCCAGCCTTTATTTGAAAGCAGTGAGAAACATTTGGGCCAGTGTGTAAATATGTGAGTTCATTACCAAGGTAAGAGAGCAGAAAGTTAAGAAATTAGACTGAAGAAAAATCAGAGGGGAAAAAGCTCTCCACTCCCCAGCAAAAATACATAGTTTGACACAAAATAAACCATTAGTGGTCACAGAGGGAGAGGCGTGCTGGGGTCGGAGACTAGGCCCAACCCAGAGAGCAGCAGCGAGGGGGGGGGGTTAGCCTGACTAAGGCAGCCGTGGAGGGGGGAGTGTCGGGTGTTGTCTAAGGAATTAGCAGAGAAAGTGGAGACTGAATCAGATATCGTAGAGAAAAACAAATCTCTAGGTGAGTCAATGACACACGAGAGATGCTTGTTAGGTCAAATAATCTAAACGATCCCGACTCAGGGGGCAGACACCCATGCTGACGGAGACTATATTTATTTGACTTTGTCCAGGGATTAGAGGAGGAAGTGCCTCCCAGGCTAGTTCACAGGCCAGCCCCCATGGCCCATCCCACACCCCTCAGTCTGCTCTGGGCTGGGCTGGGCTAACAGGGGAGAAGTTTAACAGCCATACTGAATGAAGTCTAGATTAAGCTCTTCCACCCATCTACACACACAAAACCAATGCAGAGTAGGGCTTTCCTCAATTTCTTGAATTCTCTATAAATATGTGAAGAGCTTTAACCACACGGTAAGGCCCAAACAGAGTTGGCTGACCAAGCAATCCCAGTGTTGAATGGAGGAGGGCTCCTGGCCCACTGACCCCTGACCTCCCATAGGGAGAGTAAGGAGCAGAGGGGAGGAGCCCCCCCCTGTTAGCGACAGCTTGAGTACCATCACACTGGACTCCTCCTCTCCAATTACACTGTGCTGTGCCACCCACCCTTGCCACCCCTCTCTCCCTCTTTCCCTCTCTCTGGGGAAATTCAGTAATAGCCTCTCCACCCCTCCCCCTGTCAAGGACTAGACACCATCATCTCTCTATCCTCCCGCCCACCAAAATGCACAGTGTGGTTTATGATGCCTTAAACCGCATCTTGGCAGGAGAATGATGGCTTGTCACTGTATGTTCTCCCCTTCACAAACACAGTGACAGGTGCTCCATTCATCCCCCCTTATTGATGAATACACACTGGGTGCACTGGGGCTTCACTGTCAATAGAACCCAGTGAAACTCCTTAAAATGGCATCCAACGAAGCCTCTCATCTACAGTAGGTCTCTCTTATATTCATTACATTGAATTAAGTCAACTGTTGTCATCAATGTCTGTCATTCATAGCATTCAAAATAAGCAGCGAATGTCAATGGAATACCTTATATTAGGGGTATTCAACCCGGGGGTCTGCGGCCCGAGGTATTGCAGGTGGTCCGCAAATGTTTTATTTTATTTATTTAAATGTTTTTATGAATATTGCTAGCAACAGAATAAACCAATTTTGAATTACATACCTACAGTAGAAAATAGGAAAATATCGTATTTCTAATGAATACCCCTAATATTGAGCAAATTACTCTCATTGGAGCCAATTACACCCACTGGTGTATCTGACATAGGCTTAGAAAAAGCACCCACGAATAAGCTACCAGTGCAGTAAGTGCCGCTGGCTGCTGGTAAGCTTTCTTGACTTGGACATACATTTTCGCCAACACATGGCTAACCTTTGTTTAACCAGCTAAACAGCTGCTCTTAGCGAAAATGTGGTTAGAGTTACCTTTCTAGCTTATAGGCTATGTTAGAGTTAACACTTCTTCCAATTATATTGTGGGAAAGTCAAAATAATTGAAAACCATCTACCAAATCTATTCATTTTAAAATGTTGATTACTTCTTCTTGCCATTATCAATCGCCTGATGATTTGTTATATATTTTTTCCTAACGTACAGTGAGGGGAAAAAAGTATTTGATCCCCTGCTGATTTTGTACATTTGCCCACTGACAAAGACATGATCAGTCTATAATTTTAATGGTAGGTTTCTTTGAACAGTGAGAGACAGAATAACAACAAATAAATCCAGAAAAACACATGTCAAAAACGTTATAAATTGATTTGCATTTTAATTAGGGAAATAAGTATTTGACCCCTCTGCAAAACATGACTTGGTTGCAAAACCCTTGTTGGCAATCACAGAGGGCAGACGTTTCTTGGAGTTGGCCACCAGGTTTGCACACATCTCAGGAGGGATTCTGTCCCACTCCTCTGCAGATCTTCTCCAAGTCATTAAGGTTTTGAGGCTGACGTTTGGCAACTCGAACATTCAGCTCCCTCCACAGATTTTCTATGGGATTAAGGTCTGGAGACTGGCTAGGCCACTCCAGGACCTTAATGTGCTTCTTCTTGAGCCACTCCTTTGTTGCCTTGGCCGTGTGTTTTGGGTCATTGTCATGCTGGAATACCCATCCACAACCCATTTTCAATGCACTGGCTGAGGGAAGGAGGTTCTCACCCAAGATTTGACGGTACATGGCCCGTCCATCGTCCCTTTGATGCTTTGAAGTTGTCCTGTCCCCTTAGCAGAAAAACACCCCCAAAGCATAATGTTTACACCTCCATGTTTGACGGTGGGGATGGTGTTCTTGGAGTCATAGGCAGCATTCCTCCTCTTCCAAACACGGCGAGTTGAGTTGATGCCAAAGAGCTCGATTTTGGTCTCATCTGACCACAACACTTTCACCCAGTTCTCCTCTGAATCATTCAGATGTTCATTGGCAAACTTCAGACGGGCCTGTATATGTGCTTTCTTGAGCAGGGGGACCTTGCGGGCGCTGCAGGATTTCAGTCCTTCACGGCGTAGTGTGTTACCAATTGTTTTCTTGGTGACTATGGTCCCAGCTGCCTTGAGATCATTGACAAGATCCTCCCGTGTAGTTCTGGGCTGATTCCTCACCGTTCTCATGATCATTGCAACTCCACGAGGTGAGATCTTGCATGGAGCCCCAGGCCGAGGGAGATTGACAGTTCTTTTGTGTTTCTTCCATTTGCGAATAATCACACCAACTGTTGTCACCTTCTCACCAAGCTGCTTGGCGATGGTCTTGTGGCCCATTCCAGCCTTGTGGTAGCCTTAGGTCTACAATCTTGTCCCTGACATCCTTGGAGAGCTCTTTGGTCTTGGCCATGGTGGAGAGTTTGGAATCTGATTGATTGGATTGCTTCTGTGGACAGGTGTCTTTTATACAGGTAACAAGCTGAGATTAGGAGCACTCCCTTTAAGAGTGTGCTCCTAATCTCAGCTCGTTACCTGTATAAAAGACACCTGGGAGCCAGAAATCTTTCTGATTGAGAGGGGGTCAAATACTTATTTCCGTTATTAAAATGCAAATCAATTTATAACATTTTTGACATGCGTTTTTCTGGATTTTTTGTTGTTGTTATTCTGTCTCTCACTGTTCAAATAAACCTACCATTAAAATTATAGACTGATCATTTCTTTGTTAGTGGGCAAACGTACAAAATCAGCAGGGGATCAAATACTTTTTTCCCTCACTGTATGATGAGGGTCCCTGGGTCGCCAGTTTGCCTGGGAGCGGGTCCCTGGGCAAGAAAAGGTTGAAGACCCCTGCCCTATATTCCATTGTAACTTGAGATCCTTTGGATTACATCTTCTAGGAAAACCTTATGTAATTGTATAAACCCACAATATACCTCTGAAGCATGCAAATGTTTGCCTGTCTAGTGATGGGTAGCTCCTCTATTAGTAACATGTGGCCAATGAAAACACTTAGCTAATCTGGCCTGCATTACAAATAACCCGGGGCAAGGAGTTGGGGAGTAAGTGATACTCTACACTAGGACTGACTGGGACTGAGAGACAAAGAGAGCTGCAGCCAAACAGAATGCTTCAGTTTAGAGAACTGCCCCGCTCCCTCCCCAACACTACCCCACACTATGACTCTAAGCTCTGACAAAATGGCATACAAGCAGGCAAGTCTCAGTAGTGTGATACAACTAGGTGTTAGTGATGTACCTGTTTCTCCAGGATGCGGGAGATCTCTCCCAGGGTTCTGTCCAGGCCTGACACCCTGGTGTTGGCCCACTGACCACTGTCCTGGCCCTGGAGTAGCTTGAACAAGTCCTTCACCAGACGCTGGAGCCTGGGGAGGAAGAGAGGGGGAGAGGTTTAGTCCTGTCATCCATCCATCCATCCATCCATAATTATTATTGTATCACTATTCACTACAGTGAAGTAGAAGAGGTAGAATGCATAAATGTGTAGTTGGGAACTTTTACTTGGCCTTGTATGGGGAGTCGGGGACTTGTGTCTTTGCCTCCATTGACGTCTCATACTCCTTTGCCCTACAGATGGAACAGAATAACTCTTTGAATAAGAGGAAAAGAGTGCTCCAGCTTTCATTAAAAAAGGCAGGGCAGGATGAAAAGTCTGAAGGATCAAAAAAAGTTCAGGTTAAGACCGTGTTTATTTTGCCTGTCAACTTTCCCCCCCCAGTAACTTGGCTGAAAATAAATGATGCATTAATTCTGCAGGGGCATAGTGCCTCGCTGCCACCTACTATTTTCATTCATAAATGACATTCCACCCTCCTCATCACTTTACAATGGCATTTCACATTCTCTGTTCAACTGTATTGTTAAAGAAATATGAATGGTCTGCTTTAACTTGGGTAGCAAAGACATCAGTGTTTTGAATCGGTGGCATCCACAGATTATGGAGGTTATTAGGACTGTTTTCTCTGTGGCATTAGACTAGCAGACATGGCAAAGAAGACAGGCTCTACTAGTAGCACACAGAACATCTCTGTCTATCAGTCAGACAGCATCCCAGAGCAGATAAGCGCTATTATTGATCCCAGTCACAGACAGGTCTTACTGTCAGGAAGCAGCTGATGAACTAACAGATCCCAGAAAAGGACAGGTGGAGCTTCCCCAGAGGACCAGACCTATCCTGACAGAACAAGGCTAAAGTCATTAGCATCAGCTAGATAGAGGAGATTATAAACACTGTCAATGTCAATCCAGCTCAGAATTAAACCCAGAAATAAAAGGTTGTGTAGTCCCAGCGAAGACAAAAAACCGTCAGAAATGTATGCTCCCATCATCTTGGTAAGCAGCTCCAGTGTAGATTTGGCCATGTGATTTAGGTTATTGGCCTGCTGATAGGTGAATTTGTCTCCCAGTGTCAACCAGGTTTTCCTCTAGGATTTTGCCTGTGCCTAGCTTTTATTCTGTTTCTTTTTATCCTAAAAAACTCCCTAGTCCTTGTGATGACAAGCATACCCATTACATGATGCATCCACCACCATGCTTGAAAATATGAAGTGTGGTACTCAGTGATGTGTTGTGTTTTCCCCAAACATAACACTTTGTATTCAGGACAAAAAGTTCATTTCTTAGATTTTTTTTTTTGCAGTATTACTAAATGCCTTGTTGCAAACAGGATGTTTTGGAATATTTTTATTCTGTACAGGCTTCCTTCTTTACACTCTGTCATTCAGGTTAGCATTGTGGAGTAACTACAATGTTGATGATCCATCCTCAGTTCTCTCATATCATAACCATTAAACTCTGTAACTGTTTTTAAAATCGCCAGCGACCTCATGGTGAAATCCCTGAGCAGTTTCCTTCCTCTCCGGCAACTGTGTTAGGAAGGACACCTGTATATTTGTAGTGACTGGGAGTATGTATACACCTTCCAAAGCCTAATTAATAACTTCACCATGCTCAAAGGGACATTCAGAATCTGCTTTATTTATTTTTACACATCTACCAAACGGTGCCCTATTTTGCAAAGGCATTGAAAAACTTCCCTGGTCTTTGTGGTTGAATCTGTGCTTGAAATTCACTACTCAATTGAGGGACCTTACAGATAATTGTATGTGTGGGGTAGTCATTCAAAAATCATGTTAACCCCTATTATTGAACACAGAATGAATGCATGCAACTTATGCGATTTGTTAAGCACATTATTACTCCTGAACCTATTTAGGCTTGCCATAACAAAGGGGTTGAATACTTATTGACTGAAGATATTTCAGCTTTTCATTTTTAATTAATTGGTAAAAGATTTGAAAAACATCATTCCACTTTGACATTATGGGGTACTGTGTGTAGATCAGTGATACAAAATCTCAATTTAATAAATGTTTTATTCAGGCTGTAACAACAAAATGTGGAAAAAGTAAAGGGGTGTGAATACTTTATTGTAGAGGGATCCATTTTGAGGGCTTAATGGAATGTAATTCGATCACAAACACAGGTCTCCAGAGCAGACTGCCACTGTAGGTGAATACGTACGTACATTCCCACACACAAAGATTACAGGATTAACCGAGGATGTATGCATTTTCACAATGCTTTCACAATGCTTTCACAATGCTTTCACAATGCTTTCACAAACTTAACATGAAATGCTATTAGTACATGTACAAAATAAATATTGTTTATGGTGAGAAAAGACCATAAAATTGCATTACCCTGAAATATTCAAAGCCAAGGTTAGGGTGCTTAAATGCTGTATGTACTCTGAGTAAAACGGCCAGCAAAACGGCTAGTGGGGTGACTGAGGTCCATCATTCTATCACATTATTTACCATGTCCTCCAAGACGACTGAATTTGTAAATAAAATGCTGCTGCCTCGCTTCCACCAGAAATTGAACTATACCTGGCCCGTTTGTCATTCTGATATTACAATATTACTCTCTGACAGGTTTACACCCGCCCAGGTTAAACGGGGAGCAATTGCTGAGCCATTCATCATGCGCCGCAGAAGGCCCGGCTAAATGGGCTGCGGCTATAAATATTAGTAATCAGCAATAAGGGGAAAAGCACAAATCTACAATGCAGAACTAATAATCAATTAATCAAGGTCTGCTTCTTTAGTCATCTGAACTGGACTGGCCCTGACTGACTGCAGAGAGCCAATGCTTTAAAAATGTCTACCTTTAGAGGCAGAAATAACCAATTCAGTTGTATATTGTTATGTGTATACTGTTTGATGCGGTGTTACTGTATATACTGTGCATTATGGCAAAGAAGCTAAACCGTCGGAGTGGACTTCTACACTGTGCACCCAAACGGACAGGTTGTTTTAATTAGGAGTAAGTTGGCTTGATGAGCATGAAATCTCTAGTGGCTTCCCTTGGGCCTCATCTCACAGGAACATGGTGTGTGTGTGTATATGGTCCCCTCCAGCTCATCCACTGGGTGAAATGAGTAAGGCTATGATCACCTCTCCAGGTTGCACACAGGGGTGTCTTTGTGTGCCCACCTCCTTCTGAGCTCCACTCACACACTACTGACTCTGTTCCCAGCCAAAGGAAACACACACAGCGGGCTTCAGCCAAAGGAAACACACACAGCGGGCTTCAGCCAAACGGCTTGCCCTACAGGAGCATGTACACACTTCCAAATCCATGTTTTAAAGTCCAGAACGCATCCTGACAAAATGACATGCTACTTATATGCCTTTTCAATAGCATATTTTCTTAAAGAAAAGCAGCCCTATATTACCGAAAGAAAGACAGCCAAAGCGCAAACATTTGGGTTAAACTGTGTTCAGTAGTTTATGATGGGGAGTACAAGCCTGCCCCGGATTCCAATGAAAACTTCTCTTGCATTTTACAGACACCCTGCCATGCTTCAATAAAACGGCTCATTTCCACCCAGCGGTGGAGCTGCTCACCTTTATGCTAGCAGGGGCTTTGTGTTATTTACTACCTCTGAAAGCCTTGTGCCTTTGAGTGCTAATCTCAGCAGGGCTCGGGTTGGGGCTGGGGCTGGGGCTGGAGAGAGGGCTGGGAGTGACAGTGAACAGGCAGATTATGTTGTCGTTTTCTCAGCCCCAAACCCTTCCATAAGAGAAGTAACAGCAGCAATACTCAATGATACATTTCACTGAAAGCAAATAACTATTATTTAAAAATGGTAGATAACTTCTGTCGCATTTATTTGTATTTCTTTAAGGAGGAACTTGAACATATATTGACAGGCTGTGTTCAGTTAAAATGTTAGCGAGCACTGCCAAAAATAGACTTCATAGCAAACATGGATCCATCACAAGGTGTGTGAGTGTCCTGATAATAATACAGGACTGTGGGCTCAAAATAATAAACGATACGGCTCAGACACGCATGTCATCTAAGGTGCTGCACTCAACAGGCCACCACACTCCAACCTGCCTCAGTGACAAATAGCTCATCCCACAACTTTTTCTCTACTCTGCCGTATCCCTCTCCTGCCCCCCAACCCCATCCTCCCTCCCTTGTTGTGACAGGCTACTAAATTGATTGAGCCCATGCCTGGGATCTGACACAGAGGCGCGTTTTGTTGATTACCATTGATTTTCTTTGATACTTCATTTAAAAATCAATAGCCTGGAGAAAGAAAAATAGGCATGGTTTACACATACTTTAACATACTATTGTACACTGAAGGAGGCTTCAGTTTTGGCAGCACCATGGCAGCAATTAGGGGGAAAGCTCTTAACAGGTGAAAGCCAGGGCCCTTAGATCGATTCCAAGTTTGCCTGCCCAATCACAGAAAGTGGCCATAAAATTTAGCTCATCAGTATTATTCTTTGGACAGCTGTGATGCACATAATGTCTGCTCTCCATCTCCTTGTCACTCATAAAGCGCCTCTCCGCAGGCAACATTGTCCCCTGTCACAGAGAGAGAAAGAGAGAGGGGACAGATGGATGCATCACCTGGAGTTCATTCGTGTGCGGAGCATCTTTGCCTTCTTGCGTGCCTTCTGCCTCTCCTCTCCGTCCTTCACACTCTCCGAGGAGACAGTGCTGTCCGTCACAATGTCCGCTATGTACTTCTTTAAGGAAAGATGCTCCTGAAACACATGAAAACATTTAATTACAAATCTCATTAGCTCATTCTGAAATTGAGATGGACACACAAGGAGTGAGAGGAAGAAAAAGGGTTAAACAGAAAATTGCAAAGGTGTGACAATGAATTGTGCCTTTTGGGACAGGAGCAATTATCTAGGGTCCCATATTCCCTCAGGCAGACATAACATCCAGCTACTGAGAGAGAGTACACCTGCTACCTACACCCAGAAATCTTTGCAATATAGTCTGCAGTCCCCTTTGTGAGCCCACCCATATCACCACAAGGATATCATAGACTGGGTGGACAGTCTATCAAACTAAAGCAAGGATCTTCAGAGAGCTGTAGGCAGTTAAACTGAGAACACAACACCTGTTCTATCAAAATATACCTGTAGCTAATTATGTCCATATCGCAATAGAAAATAAACAGTTTAATCTAAGCCCAGGTAATCTGCTATAAGTAGAAGCTTATCCATTGAAATGGCAGATGTGTGTCCATTGTGTGGCATATATACCTCTGGGTAAAGCAATTGTATCCTGTCATTATCAGGGCATCTGCAACACTTGCTGTTCGTTTGAAGCCACATGCCCATGGTAATACTGAAGGGGGAAGAGGTGTTGCTTCCAGTCTAGTGTGCACCACACCAGGCCTGTCAGATCAGATCAAGCTGCCATCTCCACCAGGAGACAGAGAGGTAATTCCATTTAAAAAAACATGATGTATGTGCAAGAAACCAATTACACAATTATGTTGTCATCCAGTACCCTAGAGGATGGGATGGTCCACAAGATAACCGTTTCCATCCAGCAGCCTAGGCTGTGTGTGGTATGCCATTCCTTTTTGTCAAGTTTTGGCAGTGCACCTGCTGCTTAAATAGGGGTTTCAGATGAAACCCTTGAAAGACAGGTGTTGTCATCATAAGCACAACTAGAGCTAGAGAAGACCTACAGTTAACCATGTGCTAAAGCGCTCAGTAATCCATGAGTCATAATAACAATCATAAACAGCATTGAGAATCAATTCTTATTCCTTTATTGTTTTGACTTATTGATTTGTGACCAACCTGATCAATCAGAGGGAGGTTTAGGGTGATTAGAAAGTAGCTACTCTAAGATCAGTAGAGATATAGGCCTAACAGGAATACAATGTGAGGAGGCAGTTGAATCAATGGTACAATCATTTTAAAGGGATTGAAGGGGAAAATAACGAGTATTTACTGATGGGAAATTATTTTTCACTGGAAGTTGAACACATCTTAGGGCGAAAGACAGGTGTAATTGAACTATGAAAAGATGCTTGAATACATGTCACCTGTCTTTAATGAATTAGTTTGATACAAAATAAGCACTTAGTGTGCCGACATGTGTAGTGCAATATTGTGCAGTTGAGCCTTTCCAATCATGACCGTGGCTCTGCCTTGGTTGAGAGGCAGCTGTTCAGTCATCTCTCTGAGAGCCTATCCACTCCAGTGCTCCTGCCGTTTACTTAACGGAATTGTTTCAGCAACACCTCAAAGACATGACCAATCTCAAAATCACATCAAAGACAGTTTGAAGGGAGCTTAAACATGAATTAATCTACAGCATGAATTGATATCAAGATTATGTCATTGCCTAATGCTTCTATGTGAACTTAACACTAATAGTGATTTTCTGTATCTTGTCAGGTGATCTGATGAGGCAGTGTGACAGACAGGTGTCTGGCTGAAGCAGGAGGACAATGGGCCACAGAGCCAGGCCTAAGGGCAGAGCTCCCTCACAATACCTACCACACAAGGCTTCTCTTGTGCTCTATTCTGGAGGGAGTAACCAGAGATCTTTCTAAACATTACACACCCACAGCGCCCAGAAAACAGGCCTCTTTAGAGACCGGCACAATCTAAGTGATATGTTCCCCCACCACCTCTTTTGTCCAAGACGAAGTTGGCTTTCCCACTTGGTGTGAAACAGACAGCTGTACGTCATGTTGGGTACAATGTGATGGCACACTGAATCCAGTTACACACCATGTAAGCAACTGTTCACGGGACTATTTTTCGAATGGAGCTGAATGCTTTGTGCCATTCAAGTAGCACTAGCAACACAGTACACATGAAGATGAAAGATTAGACTGATAAGAATACCAAAATAAAATGTTTGTTCTCTACGTCCTCTGAGCATCAACAAGAACCTAATTTAGCGCTGGCTCCAGGAGGTCAACTCGTACCCAAAGGCCTGAGTCCATCACAGCCTAGTGATCCTGCTGGTGGCCCAGGCCAGTCCCACAGTCCCACTGTCAGAGGCCCAGCTGAGGGTGCAGGAGAGGGGCTAGGGAGGGATGAGTATTCCCTTGGAGAGGTCACTGGTGTTTTTGTGCTGCTATGTCAAGGGTGACCAATAAATAAATCCAACATGTCGAATGCGAGGGATCCTGGACATTGCGTATATCATATTAAAACAGGACAGATGACAATTAATACGTTTAAGTAAAGAGAGTGATTGCAATCCCAGCCGTTATCTCTGCACATCAATCTAGCCCTGTTGATAATCATTGTATCTTCATTTTAATTTGTGAGTCCTTCAAAAAACGGGAGAAAATGACTAAATATGAAGCTTTGGGGCATCTGCCGCCCGCCTTCACTGAAAAAACTATGTAGTGACCTCTGTACAGTTCAGCCAACCATCTTAATTTTAATTAAAAATCTTTCATTCCAGCAAGAGTTATGGAACCAGCGGCTGGAAAATAGTTGCCAGTTGCATGAATGAAATACTGCACACCAAAATGAGCAGGACATGAAAATAAAGGCAGGCAAGTGTAGTCTATCTAAACAAAAATCCCAGGACATTTCTCTATCTCCTGCTTGCTTAACCTTGAACGCTGAATGAAAATGTGGAACAAAAGCAGGGCTAAATAACCCATAAATAGAAACACAGAAATAGTTTTGCTCATCCCATTATAACAAAGAGCTATTATTACACAGAAAACACCATGCTGCTGATCCATAGTACATACATTGCAATTGTTTGGAACCCTTAGCTAAGCCATACCCCACCCACCACTGCTATTGCAAAGCATAGCCTTCATTGCATGGTTTAAAGGCAGTCTGAAGAGGCAGTATGATACTGGCTGTGGCCATAGTACTGTATTGAAGATGTGCATGCCTTCTTTGCCACTGCCTTGTTTATCATACTGTCAAACAGAGAAATGGGCTGCAGTTGGAAAGCAAATGATTTAGAGTGGAAGGTGGGGGGATTAATTATCAGCCAGTGAGAACAGGTTTGAATGAAGGAGCTGCTAGGGCCAAAGGTGATGCATAGAGCACCAACAGTTGTCAGCCTCACAAAGACCAGCATGCTGAAAAGGCAATCTCATATTGCAGAGCAGGCTGAGAAGCCCCCTTCCTTTAACGAGCAGCCTTCCCATGAAAAGCACTCCGTGACAGAATGGCCTGTAGACATGGGGGTGAGATCACGCCTCAACTGAGTCACTGAACCCTAACTGTTTACATTTCAGGGCCCATTTATAATCTCACAAAGACCAGTGAGAGAGCTACTATATGACGTGATTCATAAACAATAATAATGAGCCTGTCATAAACGACAAATAACCTTGAGTTAATATCACAGACAATATCTGAGTGGTATTCTTTTGTTGGGATGGTGGATCTTTTTATTTGAGGTAAGACTTTGTATAAGTGTTTAGGGGTACGCACCACTTCCTCATCCGAGAGCTCCCGTCCCTGGATACTGCTGCTGTCTCTCACAGCCTGCTGGTGCCTCTTGCCCTTGGTGTGGCTGTACAGGTGCACCTCCGTGGTGATCTACAAACACACAGGTCAGTAGTCACTGCTGAGGACACAATGGAGACAGAGGCAGATGGGGTCAACAGGGTCCCCCCAATGGGAGGCCACTTAAACCAGTGTTCTAGTACACGAGTCCAGGACTCGAGTCCGAATTTAGTCCCCATGACTTGTGACTCGACATGGATTTGACCATTGGTGACTCGGACTTGGACTCACCTTTTTGTGGCTTGTATTTGCGCTTGGACTGGATAGGCTATGATAAGCAGAATATTAGCAGCACGAGATGCTCAGCGAGGGTTCTGTTTTTTACAGCGACACCTTGTTTAGGCTACACCTTCTTCAGTCATGTTACCTCATTAGCTAGCTAGCTAACAAACAGTAGCCTATATGCAAACATTTGGTGGCACAGAAAGGAAAAGGTATAGCAAAAAATGTATTGACTAAATAATTCCTCTTGCCACTACACTATATCTGACTGGGTAAATATCGAGGGTCTTATTCCGGTGACATGATGATCGAGGCTTGACTGCTGTTTGACAAATAAAAATATTCTTGCTCTTATCCATAATAATCTAATCATGTAGACTAGCCTACCCACACTGTATCTGCCAGCTGTTGGCTAGAGCGCACATGTCAAAACCAGAGGCACATTTGCTATTTAACCAACAGTTTTTGTGACAAAACTATCGGTAGAGTTGAAAATGCGATGGAAACACATTGAACTTTAGATTTTTATTTGGTACATAACTTAAGCAAAAAAGGAAATGCTGTGTGCACTACGTCATCACGCACTGACTTTTATCCGCAACAAGTCCATTTGGTGGAAACACACCACTGGTGGAAAATGTGCATATTTTCTTAATGTGGATTTTAGAATATTAGCATTAAAATCTGTTGCCAATTGGATGGAAACCTAGCTACTGACTGAAACTATACATTACAACTGGTTTTCAATAAGATCTGACAGACTGTTTCTCCTCCATCTGACTAAATTGTGAGACCTAATGTTTAGTAGGTGTCAGGAACTTAACTGCAGTCAACAAGCCTTTAGTGGAATGAATTGACATGGTTAAGAACAAAGGTGACAAGTGTAGTCACGTAGTTTCTTCAATCAGCATGTGATGTGTCAGACAGATATGAGATGAGAGCATTGTTAAACTGAAGATGCCTTAATGGCTGTATTTAATGGCATTCTCCTTTCTGACAGCACAGCTGGACCATACTAGTTACTGCAGTATGAAATCAGTTGGTGACAGATCCACTCAGGATGATCCATCTCAACACAAACATTTACAGTGAACAAATGTAGCCTATATAACAACATTAATGTGATTGGCTCTGTGATGGTCTATGCCTTTTCTAAATCAAGCAGAATATGTTATCCCTGTACTATTTTGTCTGTGTCAATGATTCATCCTCACACCAACTGATGAATCAATGTCCCTTCTGTCGTTCTTGCTCCTCACACACAGAGTGACCATTTAGTGCGGCATGTCTGGAAAACGACACACTGAAAACACTGGTACAGTAAACCACAAACTGTGGGCAAAACTGGGCTGGACTATACACAGACAGAAGCAAGGAAAAAGTGGTGTGAAGATGAAGAATTGACAGAAACAGCATGAGGTTAGGTTGATGTGGATGTGTTGTTTTCCTCCCACCAAGGGCTAGAACAAAGCCCATTACGGATGGCCTCGGTTTAATGTCATTAAATAGAGTGCTGGCTGCTTGCCTATAGATGATCTCTAGTGTCAGATGCTAGCCAAGGTCATCGACATTTTAACAAGATTCCCCCTTCCCCCCACACACTCCTCTTTATCTGATGCTAGTTGGAGCTCCAAGGTGTCGCAACCTTGTTGCGGTGAGAGCCGGCCTGGTCCGTCACAGATAAATGTGCCTGCCAATGGATTTGTTGCCCGTCACTTGAAAATCATGCCCAGTCATAAATCCCCACCCCAGAGATCAGGTTTAATCAATGCAGTTAAATCCTCATTTCAATACATTCTCTTCCCAAATCCTCTGAATCACCTTCTCATCAGCATTTTTATGCATCCAGTCTGCCAAGGGGGACCTCCACAGCTGCTCTACTGCCACAAAGCTGCGGTTACTTTCCCCTTCAGTTTAGGTTAAGCATGTAAGCCAATCAGTCTCACAAATTAGTGCAAGGAATGAAGTTAAGGAAGTAAAGGGTGAACTTCTCACTGGAGAGTGAATCAAGCCAATTAACCATTTAGTATACACTTTCTCTACTCAGTATGTCAGCATCTGTCTAATGTTAGCATCTAGTGGCATGTCTAGTGTCAGAGGAAATATGCCAAGGACAAGTGGGCTAAATATCAATCATCATCTACATGAAGAACAATACAAAGACAACTTGTTAAAAAAACATCATAAACCATTTCAGACTGGGACTTTGTGTACATACCACAACATTGCACAAGGAGCACTGTTTCTTGCGCTCATACGGTGTCAGTTTGGGGGCATAGTCAGTGTTGGCATGTCTGCCACTGCTGAGTTCTGCTGCCTTCTCCTTCCTCTGTTCAATCTGCTCCATGTGCCTGCGACTGCTCTCATCATGCTGGGAAGGAGAACAACCAAGAGATCATGAGATTAAGAGGGACTTTAGTCTGGTCTACAACAATGAAATGTAAACTTTAGTCAGGGGCCGTATCCACAAAGTGTCTCAGAGTAGAAAATTGGTCCTAAGTGCTTAGAAGATACATTTTATTCCTATACTTAAGGGTAAAAATAAAAGCTTTGCATGAAGCTTCTTTAGTCATAAGAGTCCAACCTAGTGGACAGATATTTAGGAGAACTCATGAGGTGTCCTAACCAGTTAAGAGTTACCATTTACATTTAACGTCATTTAGCAGACGCTCTTATCCAGAGCGACTTACAGTTAGTGAGTGCATACATTTTTTTTACCAGCAGGTGTCTTGATTATAGAAGAAGTAGTCAGTGGTTCCTGCGCCACATGCAATTGCTTTGGAGAGGTTGAAAGAATGTTTAGATATTTCTATATGATCAATCCACAAATAATCTAGACTTACATGCTTTTGAAAATGATTCCACATGAGCCCTATTTCAAATGATATGCCTAAATACTTATAACCAAATAGGCTAATAAATAATCACATATTTTTAACCTACATCAAGTGATTTCAAGTTATCCCTTTGGAGCGCAATAACACGTTGTTAAAAAATATGCCTAAACTGGGCATGCCTAGAAATTGGGCAATTAAAAGGCATCTAGGGCCCATGTTAACTTCCATTGTGTTGGATGAAAATAAATGATAGACCTTTTCAAACATTTTATGCAACATTATCAGCAAGTGATTTGATGTCAAAGTGTGTTGATATAACGGTAATATAAAAAACCAATCTGAGATGCTATGTGGATACGGGCCCTGATCTATAACTGAGAGGCAGGAGTGAGATTGTGCAGCAGCCTCACTAACCTTCATCTGAATCTTCTTCTGCAGTTCCTCCATGGCCTCCTGTTGAGCAGCGCTGAGGGCAGCCAGACGCTCCTCTCGGTCTCTGTGGAGAGAACAACAGACTGGAACAGTGAGGAGAGGATCTATTTCAGACTAAGCACATTGAGGGCCTCATTTGACAGTACAAAACAGATGGGTGATTCCGACTGAGCCAGGGGGTACAGACCTGGCCCTCTCTCGTGCAGCGTCCTCCCTGGCCCTCTCTTTCTCCTGCTTCTGCTGCTCGATTCGTGCCTCCTGCTCCTTCCTCCTCATAAGCAGCTCCTCCACCCGCGCCTGCCGTTCTGCCTCCAGAGCCCGCTTACGCTCCTGGGGAGACAGACAGGAACCACAGCCAGTCAGTGAGACTGTATACTGTGGTAAGGCAGAGAGGTCTGGGGGCGAGAGGGGGAGCTGCTGCTGTCCATTGTTACCTGTACAGCCTCGTCTCTGGCCTGCTTCTCCTCCTGTCTCCTGCCTCTCTCCTCCTGCAGCTCGTTGAGGCGCTGCTCGTACTCGTTCAGCTTGGCCAGCACGTCGTGCCTCTTGTTCTGGGCTTCCAGAGTGTTGATGAATGCTATCTCATTCACCTGCACAGAGACAGACACAAGGGACTGGTCAACAAGCCTGACTCAGTGAGCTACAAAAAAGGTGATTATTATAACAATAGTTTTAAGTCTGCCTCTAGTCTAGTTTGCCATTGCTTTTTTGTGTGATCCTATTTCTTTGGTTTTAAGAACATTCTCAGTGTCCAAAAAAGTATTATCAAAAGGAACATCTAATTAGGAAAATGATTCAATACTTGGACATGTAGCTAGGTGTGCAGTGTCCCAGTCCTGTACCTTGGCATCCTCCTCCTGAGCCTTCTTCACTATGGCCTGGAGCTGCAGCTCCCGCTTGAACTCTGCATGGAGTAACTTCTCCTCCATCATCCTCCGCCTCTGGTCCAACAACTCCTCCTTCCATTTCCTGACCTCCTTCTCCTGTGAGGGGGAAAAAAGAGAGTGAGGGACAGACAGCTTGGGTCAGCTCATTTCACTCATGTACATTTCTCTAACCAAGGCAGACACTATTATGGTGTCTTGCATTCAAAGCATTTGCTGCTACCCGCTCTGGTACGATGTCCACAGGGATTCATGTGAATATATACCACTTCATGTACTTATGTGGTTAATACTCCAGATTATTGAAGGGCACACTCATCTCACGAGGGCCTGGAGAACAAAAACAAACGTCATGAAAGACTTGAGTTTGGGCTACGTCTCTCCCAGACGCGTCTGTGGCCAGCTGGACAGAGACTGAGAGCCGGCCTCTGTTATTTAGTGATTCTATTTGGCAGTGTGCTGACAGAAGCTCTCCTCGTGGCCAGGCTGAGCTGGGCTAAGCAAGACTGTGGTGTTTCCCGTTGGCTCTGTGTTGCATGGCCACTCACCCTCTCCAGTAGCTTCTGCAGTTTGTGGGTCTTCTCATCCCGCAGTTTTTCTCGGAGCTGCTGGGCCTTCAGCTGCTTCTCTTCATGTTTCTTCTTAGACTCTGCGATGGTTCTGCCAACAAAGACAGAAAAAACTAAACTTACACCTGCCATCCTGTCCTCTCCCCCAATCGTCCAACGCACAGTAGGAGTGAATTTTGACATGTACCAAGATCTTTTCTCTGACAAACGTCAGTGCGACATGAGAGTGTGTGTGCGCGTCTCACCTTTTGCGAGATGGGGAGGACAGTTTCTCGTGCATGTGGATTCCATGGCCAGGCGGTCTGGAAGGCTCCTCCTCCACGATGTCCCCCCAGGAGGTGCTCTGACGCCACGGCTCCCGCGCTGCAGAGAGAGGTGAGTCTGGACATTGACCACATCTGTGTCTTTAGCAAGAGCATCAACACTCAACCCATTTCATTATAGATAAATTACAACTAAACAGATTTACCATCATAGTCGGCTAACATGTCACTCCAATCCATGTTGAATCCACCTCCACTGCCAATGCTGGCCTGGGGGAGAGATAATCAGTTCACGATCAGTGGCAATCATATGGATATTACAAGGCCAGCAAAACTCAAGACCTGGGGAAAGAGATCATACCACTTCACCTTTTTATTTTCATATGACCAAAGAAAATTGTGAGTGTGTGGGGTCTGTGTCTTACAGAGAAGTCACTCTGGTTGTCAGTCTCCAGGTCGTTGTTCTCAGCCTGGATCTCTCTGGTCAGCTGTTCCTCTTCAGCGATGGCGCTGGCGATAGCCTCCTCGTTAGCCTTCTCCAGACGGTCAGCCAGTTCCTCCTTCTTTGCCAGGACCTCTGCCATGGACTGGGGCTGGACACACGGCACACACGTAGACTCACATACAGCACGTTCCTCACTCATTCAGGTTTCACTATATCATTTTATATTCAAGAGCAATAAGTCTTAATTTCATACAGCTCTAACGGTACCATTTTGAAAAGTTCTCAAGACCCCTAGTATCATAACAATGTAAAAACAGAAAATAACAAACCCAAAAGCACAAACTGCACCACACGATCGATCACAAGATCACAGGTGAGGAAGCATTCAGGAGTCATGCAGAACAAGTTCACTGTGATGATGACGAGATGGTGGAAGGAGGCACAACTATGGGACCATTTCACTGACAAGGTTCAAAACACTGAAATAGGTGTAAGGAATAAATACTTACTAGATTAGTCTAAATAGCCTGATGGAGCCCAAAATGTCTCAATTTCTATTAGTCTTTATACTTACAACATGAACTTAACAAACAGTTTTTCCGTAGTCACAAATTACATTTTAGTCATTTAGCAGACGCTCTTATTCAGAGCGACTTACAATAGCAATTAGGGTTAAGTGCCTTGCTCAAGGGCACAGACATTTTTTCACCTTGTCGGCTCAGGGATTCGAACCAGCGACCTTTCAGTTATACTCTAACCGCTAGGCTAACTGCCATCCAATTACTATCAGGGAGGACAGACAGTTAGCAGCACTCCAGTCCAGAGAGACCAGAGCTCCAGTCTAACTTAATGAGGGAGAGGTTTCTCTCACCACTGAGGCAGTTTCTCTCTAACTAGGGGCCAGCAGTGCAGTCTAAACAGCACTGGGCTTATCTGAGCCACCCAAATAGGTGTCTGGCCTGGCCCAGCACTAAGACCAGGTCTGCCTGTGTTTGATCAGAGCTTAGATAACTTTCCCTGTAGACCATTTAAAAGACCTCCATTTCTAGGTATAATGAATGGCCTTCATAAGAGGTTAAAGTGCTGTGGAGGTATCTATGACAGTAGCCCTGCTAGTGAAGGAGGATCTCCCCGATTAACTCCAGAGAGACTACTTATGATGCCAAACGAGGCAGTAATAAACCTGACACAGGACGGTTGCTGATCACTTAATGCACAGTGGAGACTAGTTACAGAAAACAAACTAACACCTGACAAGGCCATTGTACACATGCCTTGACCCCTGGCCCTTTGGGCTGAACCTGTCCCTGAACTGGACACCCTGCCACAGTCAAGTTTTGATTAGTGTCCACTTCCTTAACACAGCATAACAACTGGGCCAGCCACTTCAGGAGTACCAGCAACAAACATGACAGACACTGCTTTCTGAGTTCTCACAACAGGAGCCCCATGGACATCCTCTCACAGCCAACCACCAACACCCACACACAAACTGTCCTGCCTACCTGGCACAGGGCTGTTCTGAGGGGGCTGTGCCGCCTGTCATGTTAGCACATTGTGGCTGGAGGATCTGTAAAATGACTTTGTTTAGGCGCTGAAGGCCCACGGGAATCCATGACCCCCCTGCCCTGAGCCCTCCCCTCCCTCTGCTCCTCCATCTCTCAGCACTCACAGTGGAAAGCTCTTTAGGGTCCAGCACACTCTCCAGTTTCACCGCTGCCATGGGAGCCTCAGCCTGTCCTGGAGCAGATGTTGCAGTGCCCTGTGACGCGCCCCCCGCAGCCCCCTTGTCCCCCAGAGCACAGGGCCCGTCCGTCTGGGCCGGGTCTAGGGACGGAGGGAGAGCTAGGGCAGGGACTGGTAGGGCTATGGCTGGGAATATCGTAGGGTCTGGGTCTTGGGTAAGGTAAAGGGTAGGGGTTGGGGCTGGTATGGGGGGAGGCGTGTCCTCACAGGGTGTGTTGACACACTGCCCCGAGTCTTGAACACTGTCTGCTGGGGGCTGTACCGACACAATCACACACATACCATTCAAGACATGCATATTCCAAGCATTTCATGAGAGCAGTAAAACACAAATAAAAAAAATTAACACACAGCTGAAAACACACATCATGCAGGGAGGTTGGCACTAACATGCCCTAAACATTCAATTCTCATCAAAACATCAAATAAACACAATGTGGAAATACATGAAATGTGTATTTCAAATAAGCAATGCCTAGAATACACCCATACCCAGTGTGTTCTGAGGCAATGAGTATTTATTTAATGAGAGGGAAAATTGCATATTTCTGCTTCTGAAGTGTCAGTATACGAGCAATTGTGTTAAAACTGATATGCCCTGTCTGGACAGGCTCTCTATGAATACTGTGGAGCCCAAAACAAATACAATGTAACTGATAAAACAGTCTTGTGTTACTCTGCTCCACGTCTCCTGTCTTCCTGAATAATTGATATCTGGGGACTGCTGGGAGAGTGAGTGACTTCAGGGCTCAGTACTAGGGATGTGCACGGTTATTTGAATATCCGAACGGACGTTTGTATTAGAATACTTGTGAGTATTCATTTTTGCAATACATTTCTACCTGATTTTAACACTGAAAAGGCTTTTTCTAAATTAAATTAAAATATAAATGTGACTTTCTTACATACAAGGATATACCATGACATTTCAAATTATTAATTTAATAAAACAACAAACTCTTCAATAGGGTTTGTATGCACAGTGCGCCCCATAAAAAAGACTGGTAGCCTTCACGTGTGCCGCTTGTTATGTTGGCCAATCAAAGCGGCAAATAGGCTCAATGTGTAGCAAGTGGAGTGAGAGTTCACTAATGCAATGCAAGATGGGATACAATTACGGAATTAAAAGTCAGCGAAATGAGAAGGAGTAGGATACAACGAGCAACCAACAGGTAAGCTGTTGTTTTATCTGAATGGGGTTGGGAAGAAAGCACAGCTTGTGGTCTCAAATAGCCTAGCTAGCTAGCTTCTATAGGCTACTCCAGTTAAGACAAGCAATGTTATATGGGATGATAAATAACATTGTGGCTGCTACAAGTTAGATGGTCTTGGCTGTAACCGAGTTGCCTTGGCGTCTCTCTCGCTCTCCCTCAGTCTGCTCGCTACACACACCGCCCTCCGAAGCTGCAGCAATAGAGGAGAAGGGTCTGAATGCGCGCCAGCCTCTCTACCTCAAGCAGGAGTGCTCAGGTAAAAAACTTAGCTACGTAAAAAAAAAAAAAAAAAAGAATACTAAACAACACAAGATATCTGAAAATAATTCATGATACTATTCAAATAGTGAAATTATTTAAAACCCCCATCCCTACTCAGTACCTCCATCATGTGACCCTTCTTTGAGTCTCCTGTCGTTTCCTCCAGGGAGTCGGGCTCCTCAGGGATTGGCTGTTCACATTGACCTTCGTCTTCGTTCATGGGGCAGGGCTTGCCAGGGAGCTGCTAGTTCTCCTTGTTGCTGTCGTCTTTAGGGCTGATGTGGGCCAGGACCGGGCTGACCTTGGCTACGCTGGCGGCAGAGCGAGGCCGTGCAGGACGCCCACGCTGGACTGTCTCCCAGCCCTCAGAGTCCTTCTTACCTGGACACAGTGAAGGACACACAGACTCATTAGAAGTGTTGCTCCACAGACATCAATCAGAAGAGGATACACACCTTGAGAGGGGTTTACATGCACTGATTATAAAAGGACCCACAAACCATGTAAGGATTACATTTACATTTACATTTTAGTCATTTAGCAGACGCTCTTATCCAGAGCGACTTACAGTTAGTGAGTGCATACATGTTTCATACTGCCCCCCCGTGGGAAACGAACCCACAACCCTGGCGTTGCAAACGCCATGCTCTACCAACTGAGCTACACGGGGGCATATAGTTCAGCCTACAAGGATCATATAGTTCAGCCTCTAAATTTCATGCGGGGGCTCTGCTTACCTGGTTTCTCTGCGGGACAGTTGTTGACTTGGCTGGGGACAGGAATGGACTGGGAGGACTGGGAGGACTTGACCCGGTCAGCCCAGCTGGGGCCTGTGTGGGACAGACGAGCTACGGCCAGTGTGGGTGGAGGACCACTGGAGAGATAAACACAAATCACTCAAAACCAGAAGACAGCAATGTCAACATACACAGAAGCATTTCACCACAGAGATCATGTAAATCATTTGTTTTGATAGACACAGCCTCTCCTCTACACAACTGCCGGTCCAACAGTACATTTTACACCAGTGGTCACCAAACTTTTCAGAGTCAAGATCACTTTAGCAGTCAAAAAGCAAGCGCAGATCTACCGCTCAGATTTAAAAAACTTAACATGAACCTAATAAAAACATTTCTGTAGGAATGACGTTTGTGCAGTAGGCCTAATACATTATCACAGCATATTGGCCATCTGCCTGGCCTGCCAATATTGTTCTTATCAGACCATAATATATTTCAAAACTCGAGCTTTGATAACAAAATAAATCAGTTGGTGTAGCACTTGCGAGGCGCACAGCTGAGCATAAATTTAAATAATTTGCTTTTTTATTTTACTGGACTGATGGTACCTGTATCTGATGGTCATGGTGCTTTTTTAGTTTACTGGACTGATGGTCATGGTGCTTTCAAGCCAACTGGAAACTCTGGAAAAAAAAAAACGAGGTCAACTGTCACGATGTCCACCGAGGCTGCCCCTCCTCCTTGTTCGGGCAGGCTTCGGCGTTCGTCGTCACCGGAGTACTAGCTACTGCCGATCTCATTCTCATCACTCCACTTGTCATGTCTTGTCAATCACACACACCTGGTGCTCATTCCCCTAAATAGTATGTGTATAAGTGTTCCCTCTGTTCCCCTTGTCTTTGTGAGTGATTGTTTATTGTGAGAGCATGTTAGCTCGGTTGAGCTACTCAATATTGTATTTATACCAAGGTGGATGTTTTCCCTTGAGCTTGTTCCTTTTGACGCTTGGGGCGTTTGATATATGTGAACGCATTAAACTCTGTACTTCGGAAAGTCAAAGCTCTAGAAGGATGCCAGAGTTTCCGACTTGGAATTCTGAGTAGGATGACCGTTGAAAAAGATTTTTCCCAGAGGGAGCTTGTTTTTTTCCCAGTGTTTCCAGTTGTCTTGAACGCACTGAAGTTGCAGATTTCCGAGTTACCAGTTGTTTTGAACACGGCATTAATCTCAGCAGAGGGAGGGAGAGAGCAACAGAGTGTCCGCCTCTCACGGTCCCTGCTCTCTCCTTCCTTTCCTCCGGTGAGACTGATCAGAGAGAAGGGATACCATCTTCCACCTGATGGCGAAACTCGAGTAGGACCGCATCTGCCTCATGCACAAATTCATGTTGATCCTATGACCAGAGAAAGTGAAATATTCCTCAATATTTAAATAGACACGACAAGCTCCTAATAATAAAAACGCAGGGCTATCGATACACTTGGCTACTCAATCATTGCAGCACGAGTGGAAGTAGGGAGAAGCATGTTTTATGTTTTGTAATAGTGTTGAATAAAAATTTGACAAACTCACTCATAAAAACAGCAGCTCTTTGCTATATTCTTTGACAGTCTCTCTACGGTCATGGTTTTAAAAGTTATGAAATCTCAGGTAGGCTAGTATCAAACTGTGGCCGGGGTCGTGGTAGCCATAGGCACGGTGATTTGAGCTATCCGATTGGCCAGCGCAGTAGGTGCACTCGATTTAGCCACAGATCTCCCGGTCTGCTTTTCAGACAAATGAAGTGGATCAAAATGGGAACACGTTGCCAACCCGGTGCGCAGTGCCTCTGAATCAAGTGCACCTACCGCCAACAGCGTAACACAAATACAAATAAATAAATCGACTAGGAATGCCTTGAAGATCGACCGGTTGGTGAACACTGTTCTAAACAATGGCTGTGACGTCACTGACTACTCCAGCAAGAGTAATAAGAGTTGACCATAAGGTGAGCAGCTCCATCTGCCTCTCCCAGGCTGGTGTCTGACCCAGGCTTTCCTCCCAACACTCTCAGGGTCTACAAACCTCCCTAATGATCAATACCCATTTCCTGCAGCATCCGATTACAGGGCACTGCACATATTGAACTGATGCTTCAGCAGTCTTTAACCACACTTTTATCGTTTCTGTGGCGAGGCTAGTGAGGGACTCAACAAATTACATTAAACAAATGCCTCAACATCAGCAATCAATCCCCTTACCAGCAGATCACAGAGCAGCCTCTACCAACCCAGACCAGTTGGCACATTATATTGCACATTGATTTATTAATTAGAGGTTTTAATGGCCTTTTTGTTAAATTAGCATTTGTGTTCCCTTTACTCTAACTGTGAACATGTAATGATGGCTGACTGTATTACACGTAATATAGCGGAGAGGAAACAGAGGACATGCTGCTTCCCAGAATGTGCTGATGGGGAGTAAAGTGAGGAGGGATTCTGATGACTGCTGTATAATGGTGTGTGTTCATAATGACTGGCAGTCATTACATTAACATGATGGTAAGCACTTTTAGTTCAAATCAGAAACAGTGGAGATTAGGGCTGTCAACCGAACCAGAAATGAGATGGAGAAATCTTACCCAAAGTTGAGGGCACGGCGAGCACTAGGAGAGGGGACGATCCTGTCAGATGACGGGCTGGGCATCACATGACGACCTGGGGACATCTTACGCACTTCCCATGCCAAAGACGTGGGTCTAGATTCAGAGAGGACAAATAAAATAATAAATGTTTCATAAACTTGTAATATACTGTAGTACCATAGCGGCCGATTTGTATCTCACTTTAGCTAAAAACAATTCAATTTATGGGAACACAAAAAACACACACAAAAGTTTCAGGTTGACTGATCGAGGCAACTTAAACTTGGGAGGCAACTTAAAAACTTGGATTTTTATACCTTAATTCATTTACGGGTGTTGTGGTCATTGTGTTAAAGAGGAGCAAATAAACTGGTGGATCGCCTTGAATTACAGCCAAGGCAAGCCTATTGATCTAGTGTGTTTGTGACTCAAAGCCAGGGAGTAGAGATGGCACTTAGCGGTTCCCCTCAGGGAGCGAGAGAAAGGGAGAGGGAGAGACAGAGGGAGAAAAGAAGAGAAGAGAGCCTAGGCATAGATAGATCACCTGTTCTGGGCATCTGTTTTCTCCAACTTCTCCTGCAGCTGGATCCAGTCGATCAGAGCTTTAAAGTCCCGCACATAGTTGTCCAACATCATCAGCACCTCCTGAAATAAAGACATACCTTTCAGACACAGACAGGGGGACACCTCAGTGGAGCCATCATCCACATATCAGGACAATGATAAACTACTTTGTCTTAGAAATTATGAATAGAAATTCAGAGTTCAGAATGTTCTATGTGATCTTGTAATAGGTTAACTTTGGAAACTAAGCCCCAGTGAGGGAGAGTGGCATCTGCCCCCTTTGTAGTGTCTCTACTTGGAATAGAGCCTCTGAGATTCTCCCCAACTCCAATGCCTCCCCAAATCATGGCATTGAATGGTTCAGCAGACTTTTAGCCCTCCATAACTGGATACAAGACTATTGCAGCTCTGTGGGTGTAACATTTATTGAAAATGTTGATACCTTCTGGAAACAAAGCTTGTATTATAAGGAGGATGGGATCCACCCAAATCATTTGGGTTCCAGGATCCTTTCACAGCATTATAAGGCTGTGTTGAGACAATGACCCAAGTCCAGCTCATTTAATCCCTACCATTGTGTCACTGAGTTGTCATAATGATTCAACAAATGTACATTATCCTAGGGGCGTTGGAAGACAATGTAAATAACCTAATTGATGTCCCTCTTACTGCCTGGAATGCCTCTGCTGATCCTACAGCTATTGTATGCAGTACTCATATGCCTATGACCCAGAGTAATATTGTTAGCTGTGTGCAGCTCACCCAGCACTTATAAAAAATAACCTGAGTATGTCTACCTCTTCTAAGCTTCCCAGTAAAAGCAAAAAAAAATATCAAGCATCCCAGAAAAGTGTTAAAAATAGCCCACGTTAACATATGTAGCTTAAGAAACAAGGTTCATGAAATCAATAATTTGATGTTAACAGATGACTTGAGTCCTAGGTTTTCATAACTGTGACCTTAATTGCCTACCGTCTGTAAGCTGTTAGTGTCTTAACGACCGTTCCACAGGTGCATGTTCATTAATTGTTTATGGTTCATTGAACAAGCATGGGAAACTGTTTAAACCCTTTACAATGAAGATCTGTGAAGTCATTTGGATTTTACGAATCATCTTTGAAAGACAGGGTACTTCATACCAAAAGGATACCACAGTAACAGGTTTTCGCTCTCAAAAATCTTACTTTTTAATAGAAAATCAACAGATGTTCTGAGTCCACAACAATGCTTAAACCACATCAGGGGACCATTTGAAGTCCTGGAAAGATCTGAGAAATTGTGATTTTTTTTTGTGTAGTTACTCGTTAACTGTCTGTGCACCAGCCAGACAGTAGTGTTTAGCTAACTGTGTTTCTGTAGGTCACTTGTGAAGGAGTTTTCAAAACAAATTGGATTGCTGCAAATAAATCATGATTCTGCCAGGTAAGCAAAGACTACTTTGATAGCAATAAAAACTAACAGAGGCTCAGAATACATTAGAGGAAAAACAAAAATAAATTGAGAAACTTATTCAAGAAAGATCAAGTGTAATACAGTGGCTTGCGAAAGTATTCACCCCCCTTGGCATTTTTCCTATTTTGTTGCATTACAACCTGGAATTAAAATGGGTTTTTTGGTGATTTTATTTACACAACATGCCTATCACTTTGAAGATGCAACATTTTTTTATTGTGAAACAAACAAGAAATAAGACAAAGAAACAGAAAACTTGAGCGTGCATAACTATTCGTCCACCTTTTGCAGCAATGACAGCTGAAAGTCTCTTGGGGTATGTCTCTATAAGCTTGGCACATCTAGCCACTGGGATTTTTGCCCATTCTTCAAGGCAAAACTGCTCCAACTCCTTCAAGTTGGATGGGTTCCGCTGGTGTACAGCAATCTTTAAGTCATACCACAGATTCTCAATTGGATTGAGGTCTGGGCTTTGACTAGGCCATTCCAATACATTTAAATGTTTCCCCTTAAACCACCCGAGTGTTGCTTTAGCAATATGCTTAGGGTCATTGTCCTGCTGGAAGGTGAACCTCCATCCCAGTCTCAAATCTCTGGAAGACTGAAACAGGTTTCCCTCAAGAATGTCCCTGTTTTAGCGCCATCCATCATTCCATCAATTATGACCAGTTTCCCAGTCCCTGCCGATGAAAAACATCCCCACAGCATGATGCTGCCACCACCATGGTGTTCTCGGGGTGATGAGAGGAGTTGGGTTTGCGCCAGACATAGCGTATTCCTTGATGGCCAAAAAGTTCAATTTTAGTCTCATCTGACCAGAGTACCTTCTTCCATATGTTTGGGGAGTCTCCCACATGTCTTTTGGCGAACACCAAACGTGTTTGCTTATTTTTTTCTTTAAGCAATGGCTTTTGTCTGGCCACTCTTTCCTTAAAGCCCAGCTCTGTGGAGTGTACGGCTTAAAGTGGTCCTATGGACAGATACTCTAATCTCCGCTGTGGAACTTTGCAGCTCCTTCAGGGTTATCTTTGGTCTCTTTGTTGCCTCTATGATTAATGCCCTCCTTGCCTGGTCCGTGAGTTTTGGTGGGCGGCCCTCTCTTGGCAGGTTTGTTGTGGTGCCATATTCTTTCCATTTTGTAATAATGGATTTAACGGTGGGATGTTCAAAGTACAGATATTTTTTTATAACCCAACCCTGATCTGTACTCCTCCACAACTTTGTCCCTGACCTGTTTGGAGAGCTCCTTGGTCTTCATGGTGCCACTTGCTTGCTTGGTGGTGCCCCTTGCTTAGTGGTGTTGCAGACTCTGGGGCCTTTCAGAACAGGTGTATATATACACTGTGATCATGTGACAGATCATGTGACACTTAAATAAAGTCCACCTGTGTGCAATCTAACTAATTATATGACTTCTGAAGGTAATTGGTTGCAACAGATCTTATTTAGGGGCTTCATAGCAAAGGGGGTGAATACATATGCACGCATCACTTTTCCGTTATTTATTTGTTAGAATCTTTTGAAACAAGTTATTTCACTTCATCAATTTGTACTATTTTGTGTATGTCCATTACATTAAATCCAAATAAAAATCGATTTAAATTACAGGTTGTAATGCAACAAATTAGGAAAAATGCCAAGTGGGATGAATACTTTTGCAAGGCACTGTATATTATAAAAATAAAGCAAACTGGATGGAATATGGGGAAAAATGCACCATAATCGTTTTTAATCTTCAACATAGAAATGCTACCAAAAATAATTTACTGAAACTGGTTACAAATGACGGAGTCACCCATGATTCACCAAATGATATTTTGAAGGAGGCGGCAAAGTACTTTAAGCATATGTTTTAATTTCAGTCGCCTCCATCTACTCTAACTGAAGCTAATTGTAGGGATTTTTTTCTATTGATAATGTAAAATTAACAGCCATACAGAAAGACTCATGTGAAGGAGAAATTACAGAGGAGGAACTTCTGGATGCAATTAAAGACTAACTCCCAGAAAACTCCAGGGTTGGATAGCATACCAGTCGAGGTATACCAAACCTTTTTTGATATACTCAGATGACCGTTATTAGCATGTTTTAACCACTCCTATGTAAATGGAGTGGTTAATTATCTGACACTCAAGAAGAAGGTCTGATCTCATTATTACTGAAACAGGATGGGAAATAGTGGGAAATTTAAAGATCCAGTCCATTAAAAAATTGGAGGCCCCTTACACTTCAGTGTTGTGATGCAAAAATTCTAGCAAAATGTATAGTGCATAGAATTTTAAAAAGGTATTGTCGGACATTATTCATTCTAATCAGACAGGTTTTTTTACATGGACGATACATTGGAGATAATATAAGGCAAGTACTGGAAACAATAGAACACTATGAAAAATCTGGGAAACCAGGCCTGCTATTCATAGCAGACTTTGAAAAGGCATTTGATAAAGTACAACTGGAGTTAATGCCTGGACCATTTCAATTTTGGAGAATCTCTAGTAATACACTGCTCAAAAAAATTAAAGGGAACACTTAAACAACACAATGTAACTCCAAGTCAATCACACTTCTGTGAAATCAAACTGTCCACTTAGGAAGCAACACTGATTGACAATACATTTCACATGCTGTTGTGCAAATGGAATAGACAACAGGTGGAAATTATAGGCAATTAGCAAGACACCACCAATAAAGGACTGGTTTTGCAGGTGGTGACCACAGACCACTTCTCTGTTCCTATGCTTCCTGGCTGATGTTTTGGTCACTTTTGAATGCTGCCGGTGCTTTCACTCTAGTGGTAGCATGAGACGGAGTCTACAACCCACACAAGTGGCTCAGGTAGTGTAGCTCATCCAGGATGGCACATCAATGCGAGCTGTGGCAAGAAGGTTTGCTGTGTCTGTCAGCGTAGTGTCCAGAGCATGGAGGCGCTACCAGGAGACAGGCCAGTACATCAGGAGACGTGGAGGAGGCCGTAGGAGGGCAACAACCCAGCAGCAGGACTGCTACCTCCGCCTTTGTGCAAGGAGGAGCAGGAGGAGCACTGCCAGAGCCCTGCAAAATGACCTCCAGCAGGCCACAAATGTGCATGTGTCTGCTCAAACAGTCAGAAACAGACTCCATGAGGGTGGTATGAGGGCCCGACGTCAACAGGTGGGGGTTGTGCTTACAGCCCAACACCGTGCAGGACGTTTGGCATTTGCCAGAGAACACCAAGATTGGCAAATTCGCCACTGGCACCCTGTGCTCTTCACAGATTAAAGCAGGTTCACACTGAGCACGTGACAGACGTGACAGAGTCTGAAGACGCCGTGGAGAACGTTCTGCTGCCTGCAACATCCTCCAGCATGACCGGTTTGGCGGTGGGTCAGTCATGGTGTGGGGTGGCATTTCTTTGGGGGGGGGGTCGCACAGCCCTCCATGTGCTCGCCAGAGGTAGCCTGACTGCCATTAGGTACCGAGATGAGATCCTCAGACCCCTTGTGAGACCATATGCTGGTGCGGTTGGCCCTGGGTTCCTCCTAATGCAAGACAATGCTAGACCTCATGTGGCTGGAGTGTGTCAGCAGTTCCTGCAAGAGGAAGGCATTGATGCTATGGACTGGCACGCCCGTTCCCCAGACCTGAATCGA